CGGGGTGGGGTGGGGCGGGGCTTCGGGGCCGGGACAGGGCGGCGCGCACCTGCAGGAAGCGGATGAGGTAGCAGAGCACCATGCGGTTGATGCGGGGCAGCGCGTGCACCACGGCCACGGCGGCCTCTGGGCTCTCGTACTGCGCGATGCATTGCTCGTAGAAATCGTGCGGGATCAGGGGCTCCTCTAGCTCCCGGTACCACAGCTTCAGCAGCGACGCTGCGGACACAGCGCGGGGCTCAGCCGGGCCCACTCTGGACGTCAGCCCTGGTGGGGGACGCGCGTGGAGGGGCGGCAGGCAGTGTGCCTGGAAAGGGCCTAACTGGCCAAAGTGGAACAGGCTGGACCCAGACCCCAGATACCTGGACTCGAGCCGGGAGGCATGGGGGATGCTGGGGTGACGTGCAAAATGCGGTTTCTCTAGTGGACTGTGCAGCAGCTGTCAGGAGGGGGTGCGGGGACAGGCAGGGCCCGAGGTGGGGAAGGAAGGGGGATCCTGAGATGTGCCCACAGAGCAGGCCTGGACAAAGGGTCGAGGCTGTGGGTGACCCCAGGAGGGGAGAGTGGACAGAGGCCTTGGCATTAATGCCATTACCCTCTGGGCCGTGCATGTGGACCAGCGACCCAGGGGACACCTTGAGACTCCACTGCCGTCAGGTTTGCCCTGCTGCTGACTGGGCTGGGGGCTCACCAGGGACGTGGGGGTCCTCCAGGCCTGTAGGAACCTTCCACTGGTCCACCTGCAGCTTCAGGGCATTCACCTCATCAATGTCCCCAGGGACCCTGCAGAGCACAGGGAGGGTGTCCGGCTGGAGAGAAGCCTGCCCAGCGGCTTCATGACTTAGCCTGGATGCCTCACTCTTGTAGGCGGCTGCTGACCAGACCAGGAGGGGAGAGAGCCTCAGGCCCTGACTGACTTCTTCCCCATCAGGTGGGTGGTGTGTTGTGGCGTGGGGCCTCTGCCCTCTTCTGGGTTCCTACCCTGTACACCTGGGTCTGGGGTGTGGTGTTTCCCCCAGGCCACCATCCCTTCCTGGACCCTCGGTTGCCTTCCCCCGTGCAGATGCCTTCCCCTGCAGGGCCATGGAGGCCCAATTTCCTCAGTTTCCCCAGCTGTCCTGGGGTCTGGGCTCCCCTGGTCCTGACAAGTGAGTCACAACAGTAAGTGACTGCTGCAGGAAAGGCTGACTTGGCACAACTACATGCCACTTGCTCCCCATGGGGTAGGGGCTACCACACCCCTGTTCACAGGTGTTCTGTGTGGCCAGCTGTATGTCACTGTCCGTGGTTAGTGTCCAAGCATCCTGTGGACCTTTGGTGGCCATTTCTATCGGGACAACATCCTGGGCTGGCCATGCTATTGTTTGGGAGGACGACCCAACTGACTTGTCTCCTAAGGATGGGGGCTCTGCCCTGCCTCTCGTGGCCTGCACAGCCTTCAGGGCCAGTTCTCACACAGTGGCCCTACTCTTCATCTGTTCTAAGGCAGGGGCATAGAAGCAGGCTCAGTGGACCTGCTGCTTAATGGCCCCTGCCTGCCAGAGTCACCGTGGACACAGGCCTGCAGCCCCTACACCCAGGGCCCGGGGTTGACGTGGCACCTGAAGATACCCTCCGTCTGGTCACCGTTGAGTGCCAGCACCTCCTCAGACAGCCGTGTCTGTACCCAGGGCAGCTGCCGGTCAGGGTATCGCTCCTTCTGCATGCTCATGACCTCCTGCAGTGCGCTGCCAAACATGGACGGGCTGAACACAGCATTCTTGGCGTGCCGGATCTCCTCTACGTTGGGCTTTTTCAGCCCCTGTGAAGACAGCCCAGCTCTCCTGTGCTGGTCTGGCCCAGCGTCCCGGCTTCCCGCCCTCCTCTCCCCACCCAACCCCTCCCAGGGATGTCCTGGCTCAGCCACTGCTCACTCTTCCCCAGCTTGGGCCTCTTATCCCTGTGAACTCCAGGCTTCTGCCCACCACAGCAGGGGCAACCCCAGATCCCTGGCCACCGCATCACCAAGGGGCCTCCCACTGGGCCACCTACAGCACCCGAAGCTTCACATAGCCCTGCTGGTCGGGCAGGAGGTGGGAGTCACTTTGTGGATGGGCCAGTCTGGGCTCTCAGGGACCACAGCAGGGGCCAGGCCACCTGACTGAGCCAAGGCTTCTGGAAGTCTGGATGTGGCAAGGCTGTGCACCCTGGCCATGGGTGAGTGTAGTGAGAGCATCTGAGGGAAGAGGGGGTGGGGAGAAAGGCCAGGCTCTGGGACAGGAGTAGGGGGCCTGAGGGACTTCCTGAGTGGCAGTGGGCTGCATGCAGACACTGCACCCAGCCTGGGAGGATGGGAGGGGAGATGGGACAAGGCCAGGAAGCGAGGTCCAGCTGTGTGGTATGACTGAGGCTTCAATGTCCTCTCAAGGAGAGTAGGGGCACTCGGCAGGGAGGACGAGGGTCCTTCAGGAAGGGGTGGGGCTGCCGCATTCTGTAGGGTGTCACTGGGATGCAGCTGATGGGGCTAGGGCCTGGTCTGTGGGGTGGTCCCCCAGGTGTTGGGTCTGGGCTCTGAGGGACTATGATGACCAGGCCCCAGCCTGGGAGGGTCTCTTGGCCCTCCCACATCCATTTGTGCCCTCTGCCTCTGGGATGGTGACAGGCCAGAGTCTCGGGCTCTCTACGTTGCATGCCTGAGGGGCAGCTGGTGTTGCTGCTGCGGGGTGCCCCTGACCTGTGGGCTGGCCTGTCTGAACCCAGTCCACACTCCCTTGCCTGCACTGCTCCTGCACTTGGGGTCCAAGCACAGGCAGGAGCCCCCTGAAGGGAAGGGAGTGCAGCCCCCACAGTAGTGCTTGTCCAGCCTAGGAGAGCACAGCGTCCGCCTGAGGCCACCTCTGGCGTCCACCTCCACGAGCTCCTTGCAACACCCTCTGCACTGCCAACCATGACCCCTGGTGTGTCTACCTTCCCTGGCTACCCGTCCAAGGGTCCCTACCTCCCCTCTGGACCCTGCCTGGCCCACCTGCCCACCCCTGCCCCAGCTCTCCCAGGAGTGCTGTACCTTCTTGGCCCCCATCAGGGCCGCCTTCTGCAGCTTGTGGTAACAGTACTTGGCGTATGTGCTTATGGCAACCCCTGGAAAAGAACAGGCCAGTCAGCCTGGGTGGATGTGTGATGTACAGGGCTAGGGGAGGGGTGAGAAGGGGTGAAAGAGGCAGCTCCTGCAAGGGCCCTGGGGGGCCAGGGTGGCCCCTCTGCCAGCTCCCCCTCCCCTCTATGGCCAACCCCTGTGGAGTCACAGGCACGGCAGGGCAGGAGCTGGGCCACAGTGTCTTCAAACCCCACCTTCCGTCTCCCTCTCTCCCCCCAGCTAGCCCTGGGAGCCCCTGTGGCAGGTGAGCACTGTCTCCTCACTGCCTCAGGCCCCTCCCTGGCCCCTGGCCCCTGGGCAGGAGCCCTGGAGGAGAGTCATTTCCAGTGCCCGGCCAGCCTGGAGGCACTCAGCACTTTGGTCCAGTGCTGAGGGAGGGGGCTGTCAAGCCCAGGGACAGCAGACCCATCTCTCCCGCAGCCCTGGCCTCCAGTGGACAGGGGCCCCCAGCCAGTCCCCACGTCCCCTGGTGAGGGCGACGCTGTGGCAGAACCACCTCTGCGTTCCTCCTAAGGACTGAAGGTGGCGATGAGAGGGCCCAGTCTCCTTCCTCGAGGGAGGGGGCTTTCTCGAACTGAGTAGCAGAGGTGCTAGCTGGTGGTCCTGAAGGCATGGGCTGGCAGTGCCAGCCATGCTGGTGTCTGAGGGGGAGGGGAAGAGAGGGGAGGGGGAGGAGGGGTGATCTCTCTGGTGGGGGGTGTGGGAGCTTCCTGGCCCAGGTCAAGAGAAGCTGTCCAGGTCAGGGGTAACCCAGGCAGATGGAGAGACGGCCTGGACTGGGGGCTTCTGGGCAGGGCACCCACCCCTCTGGAAGGCTCTGTCCCTGCCAGGTCTGCCACCTGCCAGGGTTGGGGAGGCCTCTAGAACTGGGCTCTCAGATTAGAATATCTTTGTCTTCTTTGAAAGAAAGCAGTTTCTTGTGGGTATCTGAGGACATGGGGGTCCATGGAACCCAGTTCGAAAAACACAAACATGTCTTAGTCCATGAAGATCTTTTCATTTCTAACTATCATAAAATAATTCTGTCATCATAACTTTCAAGGGGGTTCCTTTTTAGAATATCAAACTGAGAAGAGTTAAAAAATTTCTTAGATGTTTAAGTTGGGGACCATCTGTCCCAGGTCCCTGGGGACCCACAGACCCCGGTAGAGGATCCTGGTTCCAGCCTCAGCCAGCTTGGGACACAGTGCCCAGAACCTCCTACCACAGGACTGTCTGGCCCTCTGGGCAGGCTCTGAGGCTCCCTTGGTGCTTAAGCAAATGGGGCCCAGGCCATGCCCTGATCCTTGAGAGCCCAGAGTAGGTGGAGAGGGAGCGAGCTCTGCAGGAAGGTGATGGGCGGTGGGCGGCAAAAGCCCAGCACACTTCTCTCCCACACAAGCTCAGCTCAGCAGCTTGGACACGTGCTTACTTGGCAGATAGTGTTGGGGGGGGGGCAGATTAAGGGGCTGAGCTGCCTGCTTCCTGTCCCAGGGCTGCCCCTAGTGGGACAAATGTCCAGGGCTTTGGCCTAAGCCTGCTCGGGACCAGGACAGCCCCTCCCACATGCTGTGACCTGGAATATCCTGGGGTCACCACCTCTCGCCTGGTGATGGTGGGTACCATGCAACCTCTCCTTGCCTCAGTTACCTCCTCTGTAGGATGGGGATGGGGCAACACCTTTGTCATGGGTATCTATAAATAGCTGGACCTGTCGCCCAGTATCTGACCAGTGCTCAGCAGACAACTGCTGGTCAGGGACTGGGACTGAGGCTGAGGCACCCTGGGGTCTACAAAGGTGGGTGACTTCTGCTTGTGCTGCTTGGGGTGGGAAATGAGCAGTGTCCATGGCCAGTCCAGGGAGACCCTCACTTTTGTAAGATGCTCTGCTCCCAGCCCACTGCCCAGATCTGGCCTTGCAGGGACCCGTTTGTCCTGCCTGGACTTTGACCCTTGCTTCCATCTGCCCAGCTGCAGGCAAGCCTGGTTTTGCAGGTGAGGGATGGCTGCCCACAGAGGGCCGGCAGGGCAGCCCTCCTGGGGTCCATGCTGCTGTGCCAGGGGCTTTGGTGCTATAAGTCCAGGTCATAAGCCTCCAAGGCCGAGGGTGTGGCCAGGGCCTGCCATCTCTTGGTGCTGGCCCCGCCAGGTTCAGGGAGCGTCCTGCTCCCTGCCCCAGCTGACTGCAGCAAGGCTCATGATGGCCTGTGTCTGCCAGCTTCTGGGTCATCAGCCCCTGGCTCAGGCAGGAGCGCAGAGCTCCCTCCAGTGCTGGCCCAGATGGGGTGGTCTGAGGACACCCGTGGCCAGGAATCTCACCCCTGGACTGCAGCTAACCCTCTCCTCCCAGGGCCCTGGCAGAGACCTGCTCGGGGTGGCCTAGGCGGCCCTGGGGTAAGGACAAGTCCTCAGACTTGCAGGCACCATCTTCGCAGTGCCCGGGGGTTGTCCTGAACAGGCCTCCTTTGCAGAAAGCCCCTATGGGCAGCATGCAGAGAGTGCTTCCAGGAGGAGGGTCCTGAACCCAGTGGTCTCAGAGGAGGGGGAGTGGAACAAAGAGCAGGTGGCAGGAGGGGTTCCAGACAGGGCGTGCACTGCAGCCTCGTGTAGCAGCAGCTCTGCACAAGGAGCAGGGACTGCAGGAGGGCAGCCTCTCCACAGGGAGGGCACAGCCTTGGGTTCACAGGGCTCCTCTGGAGCCCGGACTGGACAGGGAGGTCCAAGAAAGGGCCCAGGGGAAGGGCAGGGAGGTGAGGGCCAGGTGACAGTGTGGGTGGGGAGCATGCTGGTGGGGGAGGAGCGGAGGGAAGGGAGATTCTGTGCTGACTTCTGAAGGCTCCTCTCGGCACCCGCAGGGAATCCCACACCCTTCCATCTGTGAGCTTCACCCCGGGGGCCAAGCCCAAAAACTCACCTGGGGGGTTGCCTCCAGCTGGGTTCAGCCAGCTGATCCTCATGTCCCCTCCCCACCAAGAACCCAGCAAGCGAGTTGGAAATTGCTCTGAGTACCGCCAAGAAAGGTGCAGGACAGGCACAGCCTCTCCAGGAGTCCTGTCAGTGCAGGCCTGAGGTTAGTGCCCTCAACCCCCCAGCCCAGAAGCGTTAGAGAGGAGAAGGCCAGGCGGCCGCGGCTGGAGAGCAGAGCTGTGCAGACGCAGCTCACAGGGCTGCGGGGACGCCCTACCATCCGGCTCTTCAACATAAGGCTTGGGTTTCTTTCTCAATTTGGACTTCTTCTTAGTGTTCCTTTCCAGGAGCTCTTTTATGTGCTGTGTCACTGGGGAGCAAACACAACGATGAGGACCACAGAGCACCAAGCCGGGACCGAATGCCCACGTGGTGACAGGTGGCCGTGTGTGCATGCGCACAGTCAGGGCCGCGTGAGGTGCCAGAGGCCCTTCTGAGCACCGTCTGGACTTGGTGGCTGGCTCTCCCCAGGCTGGAGGTGGGAGAGGCACCAGGAGGCACCTGGGCACTGGGGAAGGACAGAGGGCTGAGCCGCCATCTGTCTGGGCCCCCGAGCTGGTGAGGAGTGCTCAGTCTGCCCTACCCACCAGCCAGAAGACCAACACCGCAGAGGGGCGAGGCGGCTGGCCCCGCACTGGGCACTGCCCAAGGGAGGAGGGGCTGGCACGAGCGTACCTTCTGCACCACACAAGGCAGCGCTGTTGCTGCTGACCTGTGGGCCTGGCTCAGACCATGCCTGTCGGGTCTCTGCACTGTTAACGTCACCTCTCTCTCCCTCGACATGCCACTCTGGAAGGAAGTCACTATGCACAGCCCATACTTGAGGGATGGGGGTCACGTGCACCCTCCTGGAGGGTCTACGTAAACTATCTAATTCTGCACGGATCTGTCTCCTATCTACCTAATCATTTACCTGTATCAGTGTGGACGTACGGATATTTATTTTATACTCTGGGTTATAATCCAACATGATGATCTTGTTGCTCAAAATGGTCCAGTGTTAGCTATTGGCAGCTCTTCCAGGTGGCTGCTGTGTCCCTGTGACAGCCCTGTCACCTCCCACTCCCCCTCCAGCACTTCCTCACTGTGGACACTGCATCCTGAATACCCCTGCACCAGCCCTAAAATCAGCCATTTCTCCAAGGAACCCTGGTTCCTTTTTATGGAAAATGGTATTTGTGTCAGATTTATCTCTAAGTATATCATATTTTTAAATGCTATTGCAAATGGTGTTTTAAAAAGATCAGCTTCCAGTAGTTTGTGGCTACTGTATAGAAATATACTTTTTACATGTTGGTCTTGTGTCCTGCAACCTTGCTATACTCACTTATTAGTTCTAGTAGTATCTTTGCAGATTCCATAGGATGTTCTACATAAAGGATCACGTTGTCTGTGAATGAGGACAACTGTACACTTCCTTTCCAATCTGGACACCTTTTATTTTTTCATGACTTAATGCGCTGGCCGGGCCCCCCAGTAGGAGGCTGAGTGGATTTGGTGAGACTTGACTGTTCCTGACATTGGGGAGTGTCCAGTCCTTTACCATTAAGTATGACGTTGGCTGTATATGTATATTTTTAAATTGTGGTAAAATATAAAGACAGCATTTAACCAGTTAAAAAGTGCAACTCAGTGGCATTAACTACATTCACAATGTTGTGCAACCATAACCACTATCTCCAAAACCCTTTCATCTTCCCAAATGAAAAGTCGACATCATTAAGCAATAATTCCCTATTCCTACCTCCCCAGCTTACTTTCTGTCTCGATGAATTTCTCTATTCTAAACATTTCATATAAGTAGAATCACACAGTATTCGTCTTTTGTGTCTGGCTTCCTTCACTTAGCATAATATTTTCAAGGTTCATCCGTGTCATAGCGTGTGCTGGAATTTCATTCTTTTATGGCTGAATTATTCCATCATATAGACAGACCACAGCCTGTCTGTCCACTCCTCTGTTGGTGGGCACGTGGCTTGTCTCCACCTTTTGGCTGTCGTGAAGACTCCTGCTGTGGACACCGGGGTACAAACGTTTCAATTCTTTTGGAGTACTCGACGTTGTTTTTTAATAAATGCCTTTTATCAGCGTGAAGAGGTTCCCTTCTCCTCCTAGTTTGTTTAGAGTTTTACCAAGAACAGAATGTTGGGTTTTGTCAAATGCTTTTTCTATACTTTTGGAAATGATCATATATTTCTTCCTCTTTACTACTTTTACGCTGATTGATTTTTTACATTAAACCTTTCATTCCTTCCCTAGACTCCACCTAGTCAAGGTGCATTGTCTTTGTCACATATCGTTGGCTTCAACTTGCTAAAATACTGTGAACTTTTGTATCTGTTCACGGATACAAATTCCTGAATACTTTCCTTTTGTAATGTGCTTTTCTAATTTCAGTATAGAATGAATTACAAAATATTCCCTCTGCTTAAACTTTCTAGAAGACAGTATGAAGAGTCGCTACACAGACGATTAAATGTCTGTCAGGGCCCGGGGCTCACCCGGAGAGTGCGGTGCTGACACCACCAAGGCCACGGGTTCGGATCCCACATAGGGCCGGCCCGTGGCTCACTGGGACAGCTGGTGCTGATAACACCAAGTCAAGGGTGAAGATGTCCTGACTGGCCAGCTTTAAAGAAAAAAAAAAAAGTTTGTCACAATTCTCCAGTGAAGCCATCTGTGCCTGGAATTTTCTTTGTGGGAAGGTTTTTAACTACACAAATTCTATTTTTTAAAAATCAGGTTATCTATTTCTTTTTTTTTTTTTCCTTTTTGTCTTTTTTACTGACTGGTAATGGGATCGCATCCCTCGGTGTTGCGCCCGTACCGGGGACCGGCAATGGGATCGCAACCCTCGGTGTTGTGCCCGTACCGGGGACCGGCAACAGGATCACAACCCTCGGTGTCGTGCCCGCACCGCGCTCAGCCAGTGAGCGGGAACCGGTCTCCACATGGGATCCGAACCCTCAGCAGGAGCACCGCCGCGCTCCCAAGCGGCACACTCTCCAGTGCGCCACCGGGCCGGCCCTAGGTTATCTATTTTTTATTGAGTGATCTTTGGTAGTTTGTGTCATTCAAGGAATTTATCCATTTCCTCTAAATTGACTGGCATAAAGTTCATTATATTTTCTTATTATCCTTTCAGCGTCTGCAGAATCTGCTGTGATACAATCTCTCACTGTTGACAGTGGTGATTTACCTTTTCCCTCTTTTTGTCCTATCAGTCTGGCCAGAGTCTTGTCAACTCTATCCCTCTTCCAAAAGAATCAACTTTCTGTTTCATGGATTCTCTCTATTGCTTTTGCTTTCCCCTTCGTCGATTTCTACCTTGATTTCTACCTTGATCTTCGTTATTTCCTTTCTTCTTACTTTTGGTGTAAGTTACTCATGTTTTTTCTTAAAGTTTCTTAAAGTAGAAGCTAAGGTCATTGATTCGAGATTTTTTTTTTTTTTGTCCTTTTTAGACCGGCCGCACTGCGCTCAGCCAGTGAGTGCTATGAGTGCACCGGTCATCCCTATATAGGATCCGAACGCGCGGCAGGAGCGCTGCTGTGCTCCCAGCGCCGCACTCTCCCGAGTGCGCCACGGGCTCGGCACACTCTCCAGTGCGCCACCGGGCCGGCCCTAGGTTATCTATTTTTTATTGAGTGATCTTTGGTAGTTTGTGTCATTCAAGGAATTTATCCATTTCCTCTAAATTGACTGGCATAAAGTTCATTATATTTTCTTATTATCCTTTCAGCGTCTGCAGAATCTGCTGTGATACAATCTCTCACTGTTGACAGTGGTGATTTACCTTTTCCCTCTTTTTGTCCTATCAGTCTGGCCAGAGTCTTGTCAACTCTATCCCTCTTCCAAAAGAATCAACTTTCTGTTTCATGGATTCTCTCTATTGCTTTTGCTTTCCCCTTCGTCGATTTCTACCTTGATTTCTACCTTGATCTTCGTTATTTCCTTTCTTCTTACTTTTGGTGTAAGTTACTCATGTTTTTTCTTAAAGTTTCTTAAAGTAGAAGCTAAGGTCATTGATTCGAGATTTTTTTTTTTTTTGTCCTTTTTAGACCGGCCGCACTGCGCTCAGCCAGTGAGTGCTATGAGTGCACCGGTCATCCCTATATAGGATCCGAACGCGCGGCAGGAGCGCTGCTGTGCTCCCAGCGCCGCACTCTCCCGAGTGCGCCACGGGCTCGGCCCACCCGGAGAGTGCGGTGCTGACACCACCAAGGCCACGGGTTCGGATCCCACATAGGGCCGGCCCGTGGCTCACTGGGACAGCTGGTGCTGATAACACCAAGTCAAGGGTGAAGATGTCCTGACTGGCCAGCTTTAAAGAAAAAAAAAAAAAGTTTGTCACAATTCTCCAGTGAAGCCATCTGTGCCTGGAATTTTCTTTGTGGGAAGGTTTTTAACTACACAAATTCTATTTTTTAAAAATCAGGTTATCTATTTCTTTTTTTTTTTTTTCCTTTTTGTCTTTTTTACTTACTGGTAATGGGATCGCAACCCTCGGTGTTGCGCCCGTACCAGGGACCGGCAATGGGATCGCAACCCTCGGTGTTGTGCCCGTACCGGGGACCGGCAACAGGATCACAACCCTCGGTGTCGTGCCCGCACCGCGCTCAGCCAGTGAGCGGGAACCGGTCTCCACATGGGATCCGAACCCTCAGCAGGAGCACCGCCGCGCTCCCAAGCGGCACACTCTCCAGTGCGCCACCGGGCCGGCCCTAGGTTATCTATTTTTTATTGAGTGATCTTTGGTAGTTTGTGTCATTCAAGGAATTTATCCATTTCCTCTAAATTGACTGGCATAAAGTTCATTATATTTTCTTATTATCCTTTCAGCGTCTGCAGAATCTGCTGTGATACAATCTCTCACTGTTGACAGTGGTGATTTACCTTTTCCCTCTTTTTGTCCTATCAGTCTGGCCAGAGTCTTGTCAACTCTATCCCTCTTCCAAAAGAATCAACTTTCTGTTTCATGGATTCTCTCTATTGCTTTTGCTTTCCCCTTCGTCGATTTCTACCTTGATTTCTACCTTGATCTTCGTTATTTCCTTTCTTCTTACTTTTGGTGTAAGTTACTCATGTTTTTTCTTAAAGTTTCTTAAAGTAGAAGCTAAGGTCATTGATTCGAGATTTTTTTTTTTTTTGTCCTTTTTAGACCGGCCGCACTGCGCTCAGCCAGTGAGTGCTATGAGTGCACCGGTCATCCCTATATAGGATCCGAACGCGCGGCAGGAGCGCTGCTGTGCTCCCAGCGCCGCACTCTCCCGAGTGCGCCACGGGCTCGGCCCGAGATTTTCTTCTAATACAGGCAGTCAGATGCTATAAATTTCCCTCTCAGGCAGGACTGCCTTGGTTGGATCCCACAAATTTTAATATGTTTTGTTTTCATTTTTTTCCCTCCTAAAAATACTAATTTCCCTTTCGGTTTTTATTTGACCCACGGGTTATTCAGAAGTATGTTCTTAGTTTCCCCAAACACTTGCGGATTCCCCGGTACCCGTGTGTCACTGACGCCTGATCTAACTCTGACGTCCTAAGAGAGCACACTTCCATGATCCGCATTCGTCAGCACCCACCGAGACTGTCTGATGGCCGTGAATATGGCCCATCTTGGAGACGCAGCTGGGATTTGAGTCCAGATGGCCGACACCTAGACTCTGTGCTCTCGCCAGTTCCACACAGCTGCTTCGTTTCTTAAACCGACTTTCAACCAATCCTTCTGTTTCGGGCTCAGGGCCGCACTCTTACCCCTGCTGGAGGACATGGGTGTGACCCACTGCTGCGACTCTCAGGCTCATCAGCTTCCCTGCTGGTCCGTGTGCCTCCAGCTTCCAGAATGGTTGTTCTTCCTTTCCCACTTTGTCTTTCTGGGTTTTTAAAAATATTGTGGTAAAATGTACGTAACATAAAATTTGCCATTTTAACTGTTTTTAAGTGTGCGGTCCAGCGGCATTAAGTACACGCACACTGCAGCCATCACCTCCATCTTCTGCCCACAGTAAACCTCTGGAGCCCTTACGCAGTAACTGTCCATTTCTCGCCCCAGCCCCGGCACCTGCCGTTCTCATTTTGCTTCCACAATCTGGCTCCTCCAGGCGCCTCGCACACCTCGCTTCACCCCTCTGCCCCCAGTGCACGCCGGGGCTGCTTCCCCCTTCTGGCTGGTGTGACTATGCTGCTGTGCACACGGTGTGCACATATGCTGGAGTCCATGCTTTCAATTCTTCTGGTACAGACACAGAAGTGGAATTGGGGATCACAGGACAATTCTAATTATGTGAGAAACCACTACACTGTTCTCCGTAGCGCTGCACCATTTTACATTCCTTTGTGGGGTCTTCTGCCTTTTAAAAATTTCTTTGCTTTTTTAAGTGAGAGTTCAAAGTGGAGCTGAAGCACTTCCACTGTCTGCCGTCTCTGACTGGATGCCAGGACATCTTGCTGACCATGTGGAGGCACGAGCAGCAGATGGAACCCATTGGGTCTGCAGCCTTCCATGGTGTGCACACACAAGTGCTCCTTTGTGGGACATGTGGATGAGTCAGAGTTCACTGTATCCACTCCAGGCACCTCTGTGATGTCTGTGCTGAGAGCCTGTTTGAGGGACAACCCGGGGGACAAGCCAGGAGACCCGCTGCTGGTACTTGGCACAGAGGTGCAACTATGTACGAGACAAGGCTAAGCCAGAAACGAGGTCACACACCTGGGTCACCTCATGGTGCCACAAACACTGGTGGATGAACCAATCAAGGGCTCCTGAGGCTGAGACATGAGGTGGCTCAGGGTGACGGCTGGGCACGGGAGCCAGGCTCAGCTCTGCCCCTTACCATGTGTCTCCAGACAGGTGCCCCATCCCTCTGGGCTGCAGTATATTTTTAAGGGCTGTGTAGCAGACCAGCTGGCCCTCCAGAGCACAGGCTACATCTTTCTGGGATGACAGGGCCTGTCTTTCTGAGACAGCGGGCTAGCTGGAGGGGGTCTGAGAAGGGACAGACATCTGCATGGAAGGCCCTCCTCTGGGCATAGGACTGAGCAGGGTCTGTCTCTGACAGATGAGCCTAGACGTGGGTCTCAGGGCTGGAGATGGGCCTCTGGCTGTGAGAGCAGCCCTGGTGCTACAGCCTAGGCATGGGCCACTTGCTGGTGAGGCCACATGGAGCCTCGGCCCACACAGTACTCTGAGAACTCATGGCCTTACTTGTGGGGGAGGACCTTGAAGCCACAGTCACCAAGTCTTGAACCTCATTTCTCTCTTACCTGTAAGCCAGGACCCCATGGGTGTTAGCTGCTAGGACAAAAGCACACAGACCTCTGTGCAAAAGGCTGTGTCCTGGGGGTACCCAAACTCCCCTGGGAAGTCTAGCTGGCAGGAATGGCCCTGCAACACACCTGCTGGTCAGTCAGCCCAGGCTCGGCCTGGGAAACCCCAGACCTTGGTCTGACTGTCTCCTAACTATTCATCTGCTCACTAATGTTTCCACATAGCAAGCATTCTCAGGGTGCCCACTGTGGGATGCATGCTGTGCTGCACAGTGGAGACCCGTTTCCACAGTCTCCAGCTGAAGGTGCAACGTTCAAGGCCCCTTTGGGAAGGCCAAAGGTGAACTCTGAAGCCAACAGCAATGCCGTCCCCAGGATTCCATCTGCTCCTAGAAAGGCCCACGAAGACCAGGGACTGGGGCTCACCGAGGCCCCACTGCAGCCCACAGGGCCAGACCCAGACTACTCGGCACCCAGCTTTGGTGCTTGGCGCAGGTCCAGGAGCCCAGGCTACCAGCCAGGCTCTGTATGTGCTGTGGCCTTGTGCTGAAAGTACATACCTGAGTCAAAAATTATACTTCTTCCAAAACCTCCCCCACAAACAGCTAACATGCCAGATGGTGCCTTCGCCTGATACAACTTCCCCTGGAATGCACCACTGCCCTGCAGCATGCACACCTTACATGCACTGCACCCCACAGCACGTGGGAGCTACAACCCTCACACCTGCGCTAGTGGCGAGGCCCAGTGAGGCCCTGACCAGGAGTTCAGTCTCTATAAAGACTGAACCAGGGAGGACTTTCATGCCTATAGAGCAGTCTACAGCTCGTCTGATCTGGAGGGTGTGCCCATGTGCACATGAGCACATGCATGTGTGTGCATCTGCATGCGTGGATGTGAACGTGCATGTATTCATGTGTGTACCTGTGCGTGTGTACACATGTGTGCGCTGCATGTGTGCATGCGTGTGTGCACGTGTCTGGACGTCAGTTTCGTGGCTGTGTCCTACAGATGCCCACACCTGTCGGGGTGGAAGACAGCCTGCTGCAGACACAGGGGCTGCCTGTGGCCCTGTCCTTGCTCTGCCCAGCCCAGGGCTCGGGTCAGCCACTGGGTCAGCTGCGTAGATGCTGTCTGACAGGACCATGACATGGGTCCACACGGAGCCCATGCATCGCCTTTGGGGGCCCCAGGCAGTCATTGGCAAGTGGCTACCTGTGCTGGCCCGACTTCTGACCCCTTGGGGCAGCTCAGGACCAGCTCAGCTCACAGTACTCAATGGCCGGCTGGCTCACTAGGCCTGGATGTGACAAGCCTGTGGGTCAGGTGGTTGGCCAACACACTGTGCCTGCCCTGCTCCTCTGCTCACAAGAGCTTCTGCCAGGACACTGTCTCCTCCCCACCCAGAACACATGGCCTGAGTCTCACGGGGCAGGTGCCCCTCCAGGCTGCAGGGTGGCAAAATGTGAGTGTGTGAAGCATGCAGGGCCTGACCATGGCTGCCCCGACCTTAGCCTCTTTACCTGCTCTGGTCGGGAAGGCAACTGGCCATGGTGGGCTTATGTAGCCTCCTGTCTGCCAGGAGACAGGCTCTGCCTTGGTGCTGAGGAGGGGCTCCTGAGAATGCCCATATCCCAGTGGAAACCCAGGGTGGGGGTTGCTAGGACCACCAGGGACTGCCCAGCACAGGCCAGGAGCCCTCTCCATCACTGGTGGCAGAGCCTTGGGAGGCCAAGGGTCCTGCACGCCAGGCCTTACCTTTGGTGTCGTTCACGGGGTCCATGTGCCGATAGATGTAGCCCTCCAGGTAGGAGTGGAACTTCGGTGTGGGGGGGAAGAAGGCGAGACAGATGGCCATGAGCTCCCAGCCCCGGGCCAGGCTCTCAAGGCGGAAGTTCTCAGTGGTCTGCCGGCAGAGCTGGATGTAGAGCTCGTCCCGCAGGCCCTGCACGCTCCAGCCCTTGGTGGCGATCTCCAGGGCCACGTGGAGTGGGTCTGCCTTGGCCCGCCGGTCACCCATGTACATTTGGATCAGTTTGAAGATCTCGCAGGCCTCCTTTTTCACGTGCCGGTCGCTGGTCACAATCATGGGCTTCTTGATGGACTCGCTGCTCCAGGCCAGCATGTTGGCAATGGATACCTTCCGCCGGAAGAGGCCCTGGGTGTGCTTGTTGAAGTGCTTGGAGGCCCAGTTCTCGATGTCTGTCTCCGAGGAGGGCTTGCGCAGCGTGAACGTGGGGAAGACGCAGCTGGAGCTAGGCATCACATTGCGGTTCTGCCGGCTGCTCTCAAACTGGGCACAGGCACCAAGGTCCTCAGACTGGGAAGGACAGATGGGGGCTGGGCTGTTAGGAGGTGGGCAGGGCAGCAGGCCCACAACCCCAAGAGGTGTGCTGGGGCCCCACCTGATCCAGCCAGGTGAGAGGCACGGCCTCCCCTTCTGATCACAAGGCTGCCCAGCCGGCCCAGTAGACATGGGCAAGCAGCCTGAGCCCTGCACTCCTGGGGCATCGCAGAACCGCTGTGCCTGAGTCAGGTAGCCCAGGTGACCTGGCTGATGGGTGGGGGAGGGGAGGGCAGCTGGGATGCCCCAGACGGGGGCGCCTCATCTTGTTTTGCTGCCTCCGGAGGAAAGGCCGTTTGGGGATGGAAGCTGCAACTCTCACAAGGCAGGGATGTCTGTTTCCCAACCCCCCTCTCATCATGTGTGACCCCAGCACCGACCTGAGACCATCGGACTCAGACCACTCTTCCAATCTCTACCCAGGCGCATGAACCCCAGAAGGCCCCTCCCCCTTGGCGCTCCATTCATGACCCTGGCCCCTGCGCTCTGGACCTCTGCGTGCACTGCAGGTGGCTCTCCTTGCCTATCCTGTCCCCCAGGCCATCTCTTCCCATCTGTTCTGTTCTCCTCCCACATTCACAAGCACTGGATGGAAACACTGACCCGAAGCTGCTCTGAACTCACTGGCCTGGAGGAGTCACTAGGGCCACATGGGGACCTAGCATGCTGGCTGCCCAGCTGTCGTGGATCCTGAAGCAGACCTTCCCCAGTGAGGCTGCAGGAGGCCCTGTCCTCCATCCTTCCTGGGCCCTCGGGCCACTGGCTGGACCGAGCAGATGCCAGGTCTACCCTCAGCCTGGGCTTCCTGTGTCTGCAGCAGACTAGTGTGAAAGGTTAGGGGTCAGGAGGTGAGGACAAGGATGTCAGCGCACACTGAGTCCTAGAACTGACCAAAATCTGCTCCCGGCCCACGTTGGCAGATATGACAGGATGGGCCTTTGCTTCAGACCCAGCTATGGCTGTGACATCCCGGAACCACCTGGGGCCACTGAGCCCCAGCAGCTCCTCCTGCCTGAGGGAGCCTCACTCAGGGACTGTCTCTGAGAGCCACCAGGGAGCGCCTGGTGCCCCAACACCCAGCTCCTCGGGGGTGCCCTGGGTCACAGTGTTGGTGGTGGCAGCCGCCAATCTGCTGTGGCCTCCTCCACTCTCCCATGGCCTGGAGTCAGAGCACTGCCTCCAGCTCCCAGGTGACTCACGGCTGAGGAAGCACAGTGCCTGGTGAGGCCTTGGTGAGGCCTACACCAGCAGCGCCCTCACAGCTGGATGGTGCCCGGAGCCTTGGCGATGCCAGGCCTGAGGAATGCCATATGCCACCAGTTTCATGGGTGCCAGGTACACCAGGCCCCACCCCACTGCATGCTGCCCTCAGGCTCTCGGGTTCAGCCTGGGGGCCTGGTGGGCCTGGGGACCCACCTGCCCTGCCGCAGCACCCCTCACCTGTGAGGGATGGAGGTAAGGCTCCGGCGAGGCCAGGTTGGTCTGCACGGAGATGCTCTTCTCAAGCAGGATCTGGGGGAAGCCAAGCTTCTCGAAGGTGCTCCTCTTCCAGGGCTTGCTCTCCTGCTGGGCCAGAGCCTCGTCCTCACTGAAGGCGCGTACCACCGGCCCAGGCATGGGCAGCGGCAGGGCACCGTCGCTCTCGTAGCCCGAGCCGTCCTGCTGGGTGTCCCAGCTGCCCCTCTGCTTCATGTGGAAGTGGGCCTGCTGCGCCTCCCAGGCCAGCCGCGCTTGTGCCAGGAAGGGCTCGGCCACAGCCCGCACCACGTCCGCTTCACCCTCCGCACGCATTGTCTGAGCGAGGTTGGGTCCGCACGGGGAACGCTCCTCGGCCAGGGGCTGCTCACCCAGCAGGTCCACCGGGCTGTCGCTGGGGGCACTGTTAGGGGCTTGGCACAGGGAGGGCTTTCTGCTTTTCCTCTTGCGTGTGCCTGGAGAGTACCCTGTCGAGGACATGGTGTCCTGCTGGCTGGACCAGGACATGGCATCCTCCTGGGCCTGGGGCAGTGGCGTGGGCGGATGGCCGTGCCGTAGCTCAGGCCCCTCCATGGTGCTGTAGTCTCCAGACTTGACCCCCAGGCGCTGGTCCCTCAGCAGGCAGGGGCTGTGCTGCAGGGAGTAGGAGCCTCCGCCAGGGCTGGGTGTGTACTTGTGCCGGGGGCCTGCACGCAGCTTGGGGCTGGAGCTGGCCTGCTCCACATACACCAGCTGCCGCACGTACTCCTTGCCTGCGGGGCTGTACTCCAGGCTCGTGAAGCGCTCGGGACATTTATGCTTGGTGAGCATCAGCTGCTGGCGTGGTGAGGTGGGGGCCTGCTTGGCCGGCAGGAAGGAGTGGGGCTTGCGCCCGGGTGACCTCTGTGGCGAGGCAGCCTGGTAGCCCCCGCTGGCTTCATATTGCACATCCATGGGGGGTTCATCATAGATGGGGGCCTGGTACTCCACGGGGGGCTCCTCGTAGAGTGGGGGCTCGTAACCGTAGCGTGGGGAGGAGGGCTGCGAGTCATTGGAGGGCTTCCGGGGCTGGGACAGCAGCGGGGAGCAGCTCCCGGAGAGCTCAGCCCTCTTCAGAAATGGTGACGACCTCCTCTCGGGGAAGAAGACCGTGCCATCCGTATCGGGGGCGAATGTCTGTAGGTTGGGCGAGTGCTGGCTGCCAGAGGGTCTGCGGGAGCGGGCCCCGAGCTGGCTGTCTGGGGGGTAGCCATTGCCCTGGGGGGCAAGAAAGCTGGACTCCCGGTCGGCCACCTTGATGAGCATGCGCTCCTTGGTGCCTGAGGTCCACCGCAGCGAGGAGGTCCTGCGTGAGGGAGTGGACAGGCACAGGTTACTCGGGGGAAGGGAGCACCCCACAGCCCGCCTGGTCAGTTCCCAGCATCTCCAAGCCCTGCTGCCTCAGCCTGCAGCCCCTCCAGAGGGGGATTTAGGGGGCTCTCCTGCCTGCGACTACAGCCCCCGTCTCAGCCCAGTGCCAAGTGTGGAGCTGTTTCTGTAACTGAGGCCTGGTGGCGCCTCCCCTAACCTCACTCTGGATTCCATGTGCACGTTTCCTCAACAGAGTGTGCTGAGCCCTCTGCAGGCTTCACCCCTGGGCCTGGTGTTGCCCATGCTCCTACCAAGCAGTGGGTTGACTGCACAGGGACCCAGGAGTCCAGGTGAGTCCAGCAGGGCAAAACGCCTTCAACCAGAGGCTCCTAAAAGAATCCTGAAAGTGAGCTCCACAAAGACTGACCGTCCCCTCAACTCTGACCCCCACAGCCACCACTTTCACCTGGACAGGGACAGCAAAACCTCCCCCAGCTGCCCATTAATGCCCACATAAGGCAAAGGGAACCCACTGTCCCTGGGAGTCGGGCTGTCTGAATCCTGGTCCCTCCATCCAGCGGGGGTCATGCCGAATGTCTGGCCTCTCTGCCTCATTAGCTCACTGACTCCCAGCCACACAGCTGGGACGACACAGACACAATGCCCACGTGCACTCCATGCCATGCCTGACTGAGGTTGGCACACATGCTGCGTCCCATGGCTGTGCCTGCCAAGCCAGGGGCTGGGCCCAGGACACTGCCCTGGGAGAGGTTAGCAGGGGCCTCTGCCAGCTGTTCTCCCCCAGGCTGCGTGGTATGGTTCTCTATTTGGGGTTCACAGCACTTCTTATAGCTTATTTTTTGTTTTTGAGTTTTGCAGCTGGACAGTACGGGGATCTGAACCCGTGACCTTGGTGTTACAACATGGTGCTCTACCAGCTGAGCCGCCTGCCAGCCCCAGCACTTCTCAGTTTGCAGCCTGCCATCTTCTATGGTTTTCGGGAAACTGCTGGTGGTTATGTATTCAGACATCACTTTTAGCTCATCTCTGCTCTCTGGGAATCCGACTTCAGCCCTTTTCACGTGTCCCACAGTTTTCACGCTGTATTCTGTGTCTGCCGTCCCTTTGCCACTCCATACTTCCGAATAGGTATTTTCTTCTGATCTTCCGCCCAACTTACGAATTTTCTATTCAGCTATGTTTATTCTGCTCTGAAACCCATCATCTTAGTCTGGTTTATCAGAACAGAATATATAAAAACAACATAAATTTATTTCTCACAGTCCTTAGTGCTGGCCGCATAGCTCAGTTGGTAGAGCACAGCGTTAGAACACCAAGGTCAAGGGTTCAGATCCCTGTACCAGAGAGCTGCCAAAAAATAAAAATAAAATATAATATTTCTCTCAATTTTGGAGGCTGGAAATACAAGATCAAGACACCCAGATTCGGTGTCTGCTGAGGACCTGTTTCCAGGCTCACAGACGGCGCGTATTTGCTGTGGCCCCACATGGTGGGAGGGTGAGGGGCCTCTCTGGGCCTCTTTTTATAAAGACACTAATCCCATTCCTTAGTCTCATTAATCCCAGATCTGCCCTCATGACCTAATCCCCTCGCAAAGGCCCTGCCTCCTGATACCACCCGCTTAGAGTTAGCATTTCGGTGGATGAACTGGGGGCGGGGCGGGGAGACACACATTCACACCACAGCATTACGTATTGAGTTCTTAGTTCTTGTTACAGTATTCTTCAGTTCTAGGATACATATTTAATTCTTTTTAATAGCCACTTACTATCCTGTACACACGAACCGTGTTTATCAAAGTCAACTATCTGATAACTCTAAAACGTAGACCTGTGCATGTCTTTCTATTTCTAATCAATTCGGTAGTTTTAGCTTGAAATTGTGGCCACTGTGTGTATGAACGACTGCAGACATGGTCTGAGCCTGGGTTGACCCTTGTTGCGGGTCAGCAGCTGGGGGCAGGGCTCGGGGCTGGTCTGTCCACGGCTCGCCTCCTCCCAGGCGCCGCCTCCGGGAGTCTGAGCGGCAGCACAGGCCCAAGGCCCCAGCCCATGGGATGTCCCAGGGAGGGCCCTCGAGCCCTCGCTGCCTCAAGCCCTCTCTGATGACTTCTGAATGATTCTGTGTTTCCTTCAGCTTCTCCAGCAGCTCTCGGTAGGGGTCGGTGTGAGCTTAGTCTGTCCACTACTGCGGGGAGTGGACATCCCGAGCATCTGAACCACCTGTGCAGCTTGTTCTGCAGCCTCGGTCCCTCGGATGGACGCTGGGCCTTTCGGGGGTAGGTGGGGCACGGCTGGGAGTGAGGCTGCAGCTCCAGAACCCCAGGCACCAGGGCGCTCAGCACAGCCACGGGCAAACCCTGCAGGCTGGCCTCGCTGCCCAGAGGGACAGTGTGCAGCAGGGCCGGGATGCAGGCTTCCGCTCCTGGACCTGCACGCGGCTGCTCCCGGCCTGCCACCAGGGGAGTGGAGGGCAGAAGCCCATGTAGCAGGGCCTGGCAAACCCTGAGGAGCGGCCGCAGTGTCCACCCCTCTGCTTCCAGCTGCAGGGCTTGGGAAGGTCATGTGACATCCTTATGCCTTAGTTTCTGCATTGGTTATAATGAACATTAAATGGTGTATGAACCGTTATTTTTGCACACCTGTGACCCCTCCACTCAACACCAACTTTGGTGTTAACCTGGCCTGGGGATCCTGGAGAGGCTGCAGCAGACGGTCAAACACTGCTGCCGGCTGTGGCCCAAGAGGCCTCTGGTCAGCTGTCAGGAGAGGACGTGCTCTGCTCTGGGAACCAAGAGCTGTTCCATCCAGTCAGGGTGGAGATGGGGAAACAGGAAGTCGTGTGCCCACCCTTGCCATGCACAGCACCGGAGTCATAGGTGGGGAGGCCCCAGACCCTCCCTGGGTTGTACAGAACAGACGCAGTGCCAGCCAATGAGGACCAGCTCTGGTCAGAGGGGTCTCTCTCACCTCGCTCGCACCCCTGGCCTCACCCGCCCGTCCGCCCTCCAGGCAGCTCCATGCTCACCCCTGGCTGTTCTGCAGCCCCACGCCCTGGGTCCCCCCAACTCTACTGCTCTGCTCTTCTCAGTGCCCTGAACCTCACACCCAGCGTCCAGGACCCGGCTGTGATTCTCATCCCCGGTTTCCTGAGCTTGTCCCGGAGGCTGTGCTGCCCCTGCCACCCACGTCTTTCCTCCGGGCCTCTCTCTTCTCCTGCTCCCACGCTGTCCTCCTCCTCCTCCTCACCCCTTCCCTAATCCCTGTGCCAACTCTGTAGGGTAGAGGCACAAGGGTGGAGAGACCATCTCCACCATCTCTGAAAAAAATGGGAACTGACCACCATCCGCCGCGGGTTGTTCAGTGGGTGCTTTCAACCACCATGAAAGTGGGAAATGGCTCTGGAAATACTACAAGCCAGGGGGCGGGCAGGGCCCCATAGGGCGTTTCTCCAGGGCCTAATTTCAAAGGAAGAATCGAGAGCTTCACAAAGCTGAAAGCAGAAATGAAGGAAAGCCGTGCTTTGTGGGCCGAAGCCCTGCAGCACACAGAGCAGGGGGCAGGTCAGAGGAAAACCCTCTGCTCCAAAGTCTGTAAGTGCAAGTACAGTCATGCTCTCACCGAGCAAGATGCAGTTATGTTTGATAAACAATGTCAAGCCTCAGCACCCGCGTCCCCTGTGGCCTCCCGATGGCCCCCTGGCTGGGGCCTGTGGGCTCAGGATGTGCCCTCAGAGGCGGCGCCAGCTGCCCCTGGATGGGCCCCCTTCCTCAGCCATGCCTATGTCAGCTCCCGGTTCCTTCCGCTTCCTGCTCCCCTGGGCAAGCACATTAGCTCCTGAAGCGCCAGCAGGCTGAGCTCCAGGGTACATCCCCTCCCTGCCCTGGCCACTGCCACCTGGATGTCCTGTCCTCACTTGGACTTGCTGGAGCCACCTGCCAGATGCTCAAGCCGGAGGATTGGGTGTTGGCTGTCACATCTCCATTCCTTCCCACTGTCTCCAAATTCTTCCAGCTTTACTTTATAAATATTCCTTAAGTCCACTGGTCCTCTATCCTGATGCTGCACCTACTCCAGGCCAGAGAGGTTCCTGCTGGGGCACCGCATCTGGAACATCCCTCTCCCCCATGAGAAATTCCTGGGGGAATCAGAGGTCAGCAGCGGGTGAGACCTGAAGCAGCAGGCAGCACCGAGGAGGACTGCAGGGCAGTGCTGCGAGCTTGGGCAGTTCCGAGTGCAGCTGCTGCACCGATATGAGGGCTGCTATCAAGCTGGGAAGTTGTCTCTTCATCCCAATAAGCAGAGAACACCAGACGCAATTCACCTTTACCAGGCTGGGCAGCAGCATACCTTCCCGGCAGCTCAGGGCTTGGTCTGCTCTCCGGCTCTGTCTTATTTATTTCACAGGGACTTTGATTTCCTGCCATCCCACATACTTCATGCTGATCGACTACACCGATGCCCTGGGGGCCTGGCTGCTCCTGTGCTCTTTGCAAGAGCCCTTTCTGCAGGCTCATGGGGGGTGCTGGGCGCCAGGTCTCCTCCCTTTCCGGGAGTACCTGCGTGGCTGTGGCAGTTCACACCCACAGCCTCTAGCATGCCCAGGGCGGTGCTCAGGAGCGGCTCCATGTGGGAACCTGGCACTGTCAGCACTAGCCCCAGCAGACACTGTCACCTTCTGTAACTGCTTGACTCCGCCCTCTGTGACCCCCCAGGAACACATGTGCCTTTTCTTCCAGAGGCCTAGATCATGGTGTGGATGACAAAAACTTGCTCTGGCAGATGGGATGGCCACACAAAGATCTGTCTTCCAGCAATGTCTGACTCTGGAGAGTGTGGTCCCCCTTCTCACCCTGAGAACACACACAGCTGCAGACTCTCAGCAGAAAGGACTGAGGACTTCTCAGGATGGGGTCTGACCACCCCTTCCCCACCTGCTCCACTCTCCTTGCTAAAAATACGCATCATCTGAGGATGTAGGTGACCCCACTGAGGCGAGCCTCTTGCTCTCACATGCCTGCTGACACCTCCTGTAGACCTGGCTGCTGCTTCTAGACATGACCAGGCCTCTGTCCCAAGGTCTCAGTGATGGGGGCAAGAGGGGATGGATGGTGGAGCTTCCTGGCATGGAACTCAGTCAACTCACAGTGACCACTGGGTCAGCCACCTACTGGTCTCACTGATGAGGAAATAGAAGCCACATGAGGCTATGAAACATACCCACAGCCAGGCAGCCACACTGCTGGGACTAGGGCAGGCTCCAAGTCCCTTCTACACCCCTGGTCTTCAGCAAATACAAACTTAAGAAGCAAAGCCAGTTACAACTTACAAGCTCTGATCATTCACTTGAGCAGACTGCCAAAGCCTCCTCAGGTCTTCCAATTCATCCCCCAACATGACGTTGCTCATGGGTGGTCTGTGCTAGACACACCCAGGCCACCCACAGGGACAGCACCTGCCTGAGCCCTTCATGCCCCACAGCAAACCAGTCACCACCATGGCCAGGAAGAAGTCCAGGTGGCAGCTCCAGCCTGGACACACCGATTGTTTGTGACACAGCCCCGCCTACCCAGTGTAAAGGCACTAGGGGCCTAAGTGTGGTCTCTGGCACCTTCCAATGCTCTGCAAGTCTGCCCCTGGGCTGAGAGAGGCCAAAGCCCACCACCTTCCCTACAACTAATACAGACTGTCCACTGGGCCTGGTGGGCACTCTGCCCTGTGTGGCCCAGAGCTGCCTGGGGGTGGACCACACACCGAGGACCCCAGGACCTGGCTCCCCTGGGGACAGCTCTACATGGACTCTGCCCAGGCCCCAGCGCCGGCAGCCTCCACAGCCCCTCATGCTGCCCCGGCTCAGTGTCAGCTGTGCTGGGCCCACCTGCTGGGCCCCCTTGCTAGCTGCTTCCTGCTGAGCAGACTCTTCTCCAGTTACCCCAGCTCCACCCGCCTGGGAAGCCACCTTCAGATCAGCACACAGGGTCGCACCCAGGACAGCGTTCTACCTGCAGTGAAGCAGCTGGCCGTCTGCGCCATAATCCCGGTAAACCTCATAGTCCTTCTCAAGGAACACTCCTGGTGGGGAAGAACTGAAATACAGCAAAACAAAGAAATATATGAACACAGCACAATAACTTAAAAGTACAGTATGTTTACCACCACCCACCTGTCCCTGACTTTTAGAATGCGGGTGTTGCCTGTTTGGTTTCCTACAGATGGCCGAGTCCTGGCTCCAGCCAACACAGCTGTCCCCTCATCAGTCCAGTCAGGTATTCTTTCTGCCCTAAGCCCACCTCCTCCCAGCAGGGAGAGCCCCTGTGCTAGTCAATGCAATAAGACAAGGAAAAAGCAAGAAACTGAAAAGTTTGAAAGAAAGAGATAAAAATTACCATTCATTGTCAGCCTAGAAAAAAACCAAAAGAATCAATGGAAAAACCACTGGAATTATTAAAGGAGCCTGGTAATGTGGCCTTCACTTACCTAACACAAGCCACCAGCGGCTTTTCTGTGCACCAGCAACTAGTTAGAACCAAGTTCACCTCTGTGACAATGACGGTAACAACAACAAAGTGAGACACAAGTCCTAGGCATGAATACACAGGTGTGTGGGGCTCAGAGTGAGACCAGGAAGTTTTATGAGACAGGTGGAGAAAGACGGGACGTGTAACAGAGAAGTGCACAGTCCTGGAGGGGGCACTCAGCAATTATAAAGATGCAACTTCTTTCCAAATTCGTTAATAAGTTTAATGCAAATTCTCATAAAAATTCTAATAGTTAGAATGTTTTAGAAGTTCACCCCTCCCCCGAGACATGTAAAAATTGCTGAGGAAGACCTGAGAAGTGTGATGGGAGAGGATGGCACTTGCAACATCAGATACAAGCAAGAACACCAAGTCCCACAACTGTAACAGTGCGGTTCAGGCTGAGGAGTAGGTTCCAGAATACGAGAAAGCCCAGATGTTGACCCAAATCCATATAAGGACTGAGTCCCGCAGCCCCCGGCGGGGCGGGAGGAGCACGCTGCTCACACCGAGCGAGCGGCGGCCGAGGCCAGGAAGCAGGTGGAGTGTTTAAGGGACCCACAGGGGAGGGCCGGCCGGTGAGCTCAGCTGGGTGGAGGTCAGTGTTGTAACACCAAGGTCAAGGGTTCCATCCTCACACCAGCCAGCTGCTGGAAAACAAAACGAAAAACAAAACAAAACAACAACAAAGACCTGCAGAGGATATGCCAGAAGGTTAACAGACAGCACTGGGCAGGGGACGTTTTCTTCTACATGATTATGCGGACTTTCTATGACTAATGTGCACCACTTCTCTGACAAAAATGTCACTGTTTTTTTAAAAAAAGTTGAAGACACAAATGGCAAATGTTAACACTGGCTGGTGGTAAATGCTTCCAAACAGATACTCATGTTTAATAATTAAAAAATTTAAAAAGCTAGAAATGTGAAAAACCATATGCAAACTCATCTACAAGATATCTGTCTCCAGTTCTATATCAATTGGCACATCCCTCCTGCTGTCTCTGGCTGGTCACCAAAAGGTGACCGAGGCCCTGCAAAGCCACAGCTGCAGCCACTGTCCTGCAGGCTCCCTGTGCTCACTGTGGCTTTACACAACACCCCGTTCTTCTTCCTTGGGGACACGCTATCTCCTGGGAGATGTGTGGAGAAGCCACCTCCACTGGCTGCAGCCTTCACCTCAGCATCCTGGAGACACAGTGGGCTCCAAGCCACCAGAGGTTGGGCTCAGACTGCATGTGGCTCCCTGGGCCCTCGGGTCTCTGACATTCCCCTCTCCATTTCTACCTTCAGCCACCAGTTCTAGAGGCTGTGTCCACATCCTGTCCCCAGACCTCTGCCAATGTATCGAAGCATGCCTTGAACCCTCACTGAGCTCTACCTCTGTGCTGGGCCTGGGCCTGGGGCAGGGCAGACACACTTTTATTTCCATGGAGCAAACTAGAACCTCAGGCAGCTATGGGACCGAGATGGGGAGCAGTACCAGGGAGACAGGGACAGCTCTCCATGAGGGATGTTTGAGCAGGGAGTGGAGGAAACAGGAGACCTGGCACAAGAAATCACAAGGGGGATGAGTGTGCTACATCCCAGGAACAGAAAGGGGCCCCTGTGCTGAGGCATAGTAGGTACTGAGGGGGACACAGAGGGGCCTGAACCAGGTCAGGCTGGGCACAATGACAAGGCCGCAGTTCACTTTAAGTCAGGCCAGCAAACTCTAGCCACGTCCTGCCTGCTGCTTGTTTTTGTCTGATCTGTGAGCTACAAATGGTTTTCATATTTTTAAATGGTGGGGAAAAAGTAACATATAGAATATTATTTTGTGATGTAAAAACTACATGAGATTCAGATTTCAGTCACCTTTATGGAGATCCAGTTGTGTTGATTTGCTTATGTATCATCTGTGGCTGCCTTTGCATGACTGTGACAGACACCTGACATAGCATGTCAACTCCACGGTGGTGCTCCTAGAACTCGGCAGCGTTTGCACCAGACCACGGCACCTTATTGTTTTTATTGCCAGTGCACATGCTGTCGAGACAGGAAAGGAACAGTGGACCTCAAATGTCATGCTTCCAGGGCACCGAGGAACATGGGCTGTTCTGAGACTGGTTTAGACAGAGAACACCGTGTCCACTGCGAGTGACACACAGCTGTGCAACACACCTGGATCAGTAGGCAAGCACCCATCGCAACATTCCCAACCTGCACAATGGTCAGAACAATTTTAAATGGAAACAGGAACTGTGAAATGGAGTATCTCATCACCGTAGATTTTATAACAAAAATTAAAATGGCCTCTACACTGAAGTAAGTTTTAAAGTGGCTCATTTGGCCTGGCCAGTGGCTCGCTTGGTTAGAGCGTGGTGTTGGTAACACCAAGGTCAAGGGTTCAGATCCCCATACTGGCCAGCAACCAAAAAAAAAAAAAAAGGTTCACTTGTTAGCCAAGCAAGAAAAGCTGTTCACTGATGGTGAGTTAATTAAACTGTACTGAGTGTGTCCAGAGAAAATAAACTTCCTTAGGATTATTATTCCTCTGGCAAAAGCAGCTTCTCGAACAGCTGAGGACAGCAAGAAACATCATCACAGTCAAGTGATTACAGGGATTTTCCTTGGCTCTTCATGAGTTGACATGTTACTGAAGCTACTCAGTTGTCACTTATTCAAAAAGTCAACGCTAGCTTTGAAGTTACTGAAGAATGAGCCTCTGTGATTTGTCCTCAAGGAGCAACCACAGCAGAGAATATTTTTAAATAAGTTGAGAAGACACTAATTCAGTACAACCTGAAGTGGAACCTGCTAAGATGTGTTAAAACTGATCATGCTAAGAATATGTATGGATCAGAAAAATGCTAGGTTGGACAAATTTACAATGGTCATGGAAATGTAAGGTTATGTGAAAATACACGCCAATGGTCATTTACTGTGTCACTTGTTAGCAGGTACTCTGCGGAAGGTGTCTGGCCATGTCACAAATCATTGAAACTGCAGTGTCAACAGTTAACTTCACTCACTTTCATCATCAATGCTGTGAATCTTTGCCAGAAACAGAAGCCGAGTGCCCTGACCTGCCCCACCACACAGCAGTTCAACAGCATAGCAGAGACAAAGTTTTCCTGCAAGATTTGTGAACTCAGGGTCAAGATTGAAGTTATCTGAATGAGAAAAACTTCCTTCAACCACTATTTTTTTTTTCCTTTTTGTCTTTTTTCGTGTGCGGCAATGGATCGAAACCCTCAGTGTCGCACCCGGACCGGACCGGGACCGGCAACGGGATTGCAACCCTCGGTGCTGCGCCCACACCTCGCTCAGCCAGTGAGCGGGAACCGGTCTGTATGTGGGATCCGAACCCTCGGCGGGAGCGCCACCACACTCCCAAGCGGTGCACTGCAGCAGTGCGCCACCGGGCCGGCCCCTCAACCACTATTAAACACTGAATGGCTTTGGAAATTCATTTTTGCTGCAGACTTCATCATGTTTCTTAATGAATTCAACTTAAAACTATAAGGCATGGGCCGGCCCGGTGGCACACTCGGTAGAGTGCGGCACTTGGGAGCGCGGCGGCACTCCCGCCGAGGGTTCGGATCCCATATAGAGACTGGTCCACTCACTGGTTGAGCGCGGTGCGGGCGCGACACCGAGGGTTGCGATCCCGTTGCCGGTCGCGGTACGGGCACAACACCGAGGGTTGCGATCCCATTACCGGTCACGAAAAAAGACAAAAAGGAAAAAAAAACCCCAAAACTATAAGGCAAACAGTGCTTGTGTGTGAAACATATATTGCAGTAAAGTCATTTCAATGACAACTGATGTCTAAATCATAAGAAATGTCAAGCTGCTCTATCTAGTTCCCATGTTGTCAAAAATTAAAACAAGAAGGAAGATCTTCATTGCCACACAAATTTGCAGCAGATACATTTTCTAAGCTCAAAATATAGTTTCAGCAAAATTTTTAGATCTTAATGTGTGAAGGAAATTTCTGTTTCAAAATCCGTTTAACTGTGCAACTGGGAGCTTCTACCTAACCTTCATTTAGAAGTGATCAATCTGCAATAAAATGACATGCTAAAAGACAAATATTGAGGGAAGAATCTAATAGAATTTCATAAACACCTTCCAAGTGAGGAGTGTGCTCAAGCAAAGCCATAAGCTTGTGGGCTGACATCAGTATTTATTTATTTTTATTATTTTTTTTTTTTAAAGATGACCGGTAAGGGGATCTTAACCCTTGACTTGGTGTTGTCAGCACCACGCTCAGCCAGTGAGCGAACCGGCCATCTGTATATGGGATCCGAACCCGGGGCCTTGGTGTTATCAGCATCGCACTCTCCCGAGTGAGCCACGGGCCGGCCCTGACATCAGTATTTAGCAGTATTTATCTATCTGTGTAAAAAGACATCTTCACAGATGAAGGATGTAAAATCTCATCACGATGGACACCTGCAATTGGTGTTGATGGTGGGGAATGCTAACTCCTTTTGGTCCCTCTGGGCACACCTACTGCGTTCCCTCCTCAGAACGGGCACTTGGCGCTTCCTCTGCTGGACCAGCATCCCCTCATATCTGAC